ATCTTTTCAACAGCACTGGATGGAAAGATAAAGGCATGGCTGTATGATAATATGGGCTCGCGAGTTGATTATGATGCTCCTGGACGTTGGTGCACCACCATGGCTTACAGTGCAGATGGAACGAGGTAAGCAATAATTATTCAACTGTATCGGGAATACTTGCACTTAGCAATTGTCGGTGCATGGTAAAGAGTTATACGGCATCTTTATTTCTATCTCGCTTTAATGGTTTGGTGATGGATGTATTAGGCTCTTTTCATGTGGGACAAGTAAAGATGGAGAGTCTTATATTGTTGAGTGGAATGAGAGCGAAGGAGCCGTTAAGAGAACTTATCAAGGGTTCCGCAAGCGGTCTCTAGGCGTTGTACAATTTGATACAACCAAAAACCGGTTTTTGGCTGCTGGTGATGATTTCTCCATTAAATTCTGGGACATGGACAATGTTCAACTTTTGACAACTGTAGATGCTGAGGGAGGACTCCCAGTAAGTTCTCTTGCAAATCAATTGAAAAAAAAAACAGATTGTAATTGACATTTTCTTACTGTTTCCTGTTCATTCCCTTAATATCAAAGGCAAGTCCACGCATCCGCTTTAACAAGGATGGCACCCTTCTAGCTGTTTCTGGCAACGAGAATGGAATTAAAATCTTGGCAAATGTGGATGGAATCCGGCTATTGCGAACATTTGAGAATCTTTCATATGATGCATCTAGAACGTCAGAGGCTGGAACAAAGGTAGTTCCATTGTTTGGTAAATTAATATGACTCCTCACCCATATTGTTAACCGTTTTGCTTAAATTTCTAATTAATTTTGATCAAAATTTGCAGCCCACAATAAATCCAATTTCAGCTGCTGCAGCCGTAGCAGCAGCAGCAGCAGCTGGTAGTGCCAGTCTTGCCGATAGAGGTGCCTCTGTCGTCAGTATAGCTGGAGTGGTTAGTGTTGATTAATAGCATATTAATGTTTTTCTATAGAATAGATTATGACACGATGAGTTCATATTTATATTTCTAATTCATTTAACATCAAGCATATTAACCTGCCAGGCCGGAGATGCACGAAGTTTGGGGGATGTGAAACCTAGACTTCCTGAAGATTCCAATGACAAGTCAAAGATTTGGAAGCTCACTGAAATTAATGAACCATCTCAATGTAGATCTTTGAGGCTTCCTGAGAATCTAAGAGTAAATAAGGTAATAAGTCATTCTCACTATAGGACAACCCCCCCTCCAATCTGCTCAATCTAAAAAAAGCACTTCATCATGTCGCCAATTATTGGCTAATAAGGATGAATTGGAGAACCTCATATCACGATTCCTGAAAGAATTTGATTGTAAGTGGATTTAAGAGTTTAATTAGTTGGCTTGGCATAACCAATATGCTTCTAGAATTAGCTATTCTATGTGCTTCTAAAAGAAAACAGAGTTTATTATTATTCTTATTTCTTTATTTTCACAGTAGAGTGGCTCATTATTTGCTTTTGGCAGTTTAAGATTTGCTAGGGAATCCTTTGTGTTTCTTCCGTCTCTAACTATGCCGCCTTGATACTCATAGATATCTAGGTTGATCTACACAAATTCTGGAAGTGCAATCTTAGCATTGGCATCAAATGCAATTCACCTGCTATGGAAGTGGGCTCGAAGTGAACGTAATTCAACCGGCAAGGTGTAATAAAATATTATGTTCTTAATTTTCTGTCTGCTATCTTTAGCCCTTTTATTTAGACATCAGAGTCTAAATTTCTGTGTATCTATATAATCAGTAACTTTTCATCTTGTAGGCAACTGCAAACGTTTTGCCTCAATTATGGCAACCCTCCAGTGGCATTCTAATGACCAATGACGTTGCTGACACTAGTCCGGAAGAGGCTGTGCCCTGTTTTGCTTTATCCAAAAACGATTCTTACGTCATGTCAGCATCTGGTGGAAAGATTTCCCTCTTCAATATGATGACATTTAAGGTAACTTACTAATCTTCAATGGAGTGGTCGTTTTTTGCCTTTTCAGTTATACCTACCTATCTTAACCTTGTTAACTGCAGACAATGACAACTTTCATGCCGCCTCCTCCTGCTGCCACATTCCTTGCTTTCCACCCACAAGATAACAATATAATTGCCATTGGCATGGATGATTCCACAATTCAAATTTATAATGTCCGCGTGGATGAGGTATAGTACCGTCTATAACCACCTATTCTCTTAAACCCTGTGACACTTTGTTTTGTTAATCAACCTTTGGTTAATTCAGGTAAAGAGCAAGCTTAAAGGCCACTCTAAGAGAATAACTGGCTTGGCCTTCTCTCATGTACTGAATGTGCTAGTTTCATCCGGAGCTGACGCACAGGTATTGCTAATCCCATCGCATCTGTTCTGTGGATAGCTTTTTGTTGTGTGGTTTTGCTGTTCTGATAAGTAGCGATGGTGGCATTGGGGGCAAGGGTTCAAATCCCATGGTGGCCATTTTCTATTGTTTTTTGGCAATGGTAAGTTGTTGCTCCGTGAGATCATGATACTAGGAAGAAAAGTAGCAATCTGATTATGTGGCAAATTGCACTTCGACTGAAGATCGACCCAGTACGAATGTACTTGTAATTCTTGCTCTGCCATTTATTTCAGCTTCTTAGAGAATTTTGAAGACTTTGTTACTTGGTTCATTTCATAGATACATGCGATAATGCTTCCCTCATGTCTAAGCCTATCAATATTTGACTCCTTAGATTATAGCTATTTATTTATTTGTCGTTCATTCAGCTTTGCGTGTGGAACTCTGATGGATGGGAGAAGCAGAAAACGAGATTCTTGCAACTTCCAAGTGGGAGGCCACCATCATCACAGTCCGACACTCGTGTACAGTTTCATCAGGACCAGATACACTTTCTAGTTGTGCATGAGACGCAGATTGCTATATATGAGACGACAAAACTGGAGTGTGTAAAGCAGGTTCTTATTTTTACCCTCCTTTCCTGTCTGTTCGTCTGTTTTTGTTTTGGAAGCAATGCCTTACCTCCTTTTCTTTTGTTGATTCACATTTTAGTGGATGCCACGGGAATCATCTGCACCAATCTCTCATGCGACGTTCTCTTGCGACAGTCAAATGATATACGCTAGCTTCTTGGATGCAACGGTCTGTGTGTTTAGCGTTGCTAGTCTCAGATTACGGTGTCGAATTAGTCCTTCGGCTTATCTTCCTGCTAGCGTGAGGTATTTCTCTCTCTACTTTGCAGTTTTGGTACATACCTCCTTTTAAGGGAACACATAAGCTGAGGAAGGTTTTCTCTAATGATGAGCTCTTGGAATGGGCATGATGACTTAAGTCTGTTAGATGATTTCCACTTGTACGATCACCTGTTCGACATATCGAATATTGATTAATAGAAGTCGTTGCTGTATATTTCTTTTATTTTTGAAAACTTAGGATGAGTAAAAAGTATATGGATGATGTGATACTATTTCTCGGTTCACAGTAGCTGATGCTTGATGTGATAAAAAAGTATGAAATAATGATGTGATACTACTTTTCTTTTCTACTTGTTTCGGAAAGGTTTCCATTCTTATTTCTCATTTTCATGTTCCAAAAATGGAAGAGAGATCAGATCGACTGTGCTATTCAAATTTCAAACCCGTTATGTCAATATTTGCTGACTTTTGATTCCACCTGTTCTTTTCAGCAATGCTTCCGTACAACCACTAGTGATTGCAGCACATCCCCAAGAAGCAAACCAATTTGCTTTAGGGCTGTCGGATGGCGGGGTTCATGTCTTCGAGCCTCTCGAATCAGAAGGGAAATGGGGCGTGCCTCCACCCGTCGAAAACGGGTCAGCATCAAGCGTGCCAACGACCCCATCAGTGGGAGCTTCAGGTTCAGATCAAGCCCCAAGATGATCGAGAAGCTGGCACGAGTACTTTTACATGCTTGGTTGCTGGCCCTCCTTCCAACTTTAGGTATACTTCAGAATTTAACTGGTTGACCCCTTATTTTTCTCCTTGGAACAATTTGTTAGCCATGTTGTTTGTATGCTGTAATTTTTCTTCTTTCTTTTGGTGGTTGATTTTTCCATTTCCCAGTTTGTTGTTCATGATATGTAGTTTTACTCAAGGAAACAGCAAAAGGTGTAGATTTTATCTTCTTTCCTCAGATTCTATGTAACTTCACATTCTGCAGGAGTATTACTAATAGTCAAATGACCCTTCTTACTCATAAAATCTTCTCTCAAATTTCTTCTCTTCCTTCAATTACCATTTACAGACAGCTCCACCTTTACATTTACATTTACTGCTATGTTTTATATTATTTACTTTTGATTTATTTTTCCCACTTTGTACTTTTTAACTTTGGTCTAGGGTTGAGATTTTTTTTTACTCGACCTAATTGTTTGGATTGCAAATTTGTTTATTTAACTCGAACAAGCCAAATAAGTGTATTGGAAAATACTCAGATGAGTAAAATTGACATAAAAGTTGGAAGTTGCAATGAATATGAATGTTACAAATGAAAGATACATGACGATAGAAGAAAAGTAAGCTCGTCTCAACAAGAGAGAAAGGTGAACTAGACATATGAAATAATGCTAACGTGAGCTATGCTCGGTTGGCTTCATTACGATATTTTATTTAAAAAGAAAACAAGAAAAAATTTGTTTTAAAAATGACATTGGAATAGACCTTACATTTCTCTATCTCATTTGATGTCTTCATACACTTTAGTTCTGTGTCTTTATATTTTTTAGCATTATATTTGTTTACCCAGCCATTATATCTATTTACTCTTTAAAATTAAGATATCGCTCCTCTCTAATTTATAGGTGTTAACAGGCAGTTTAGCTCGAAAAACATATATTTTTGACCCAAAAGATAGAAAGTCCGAATATTCACCCTCATATATTAAACTAAACAAATTGATTTTGGGTAAATGTTCTTGGACATTGGAGAAGAAAGAAAAAAAGATTGTAAAGTTAATTTTGATTAAGTAATTAAAACAAAACCCAGAATGAAACATTCTACGAGTGAATCCAGATTCCAGTCCCAGTCGCCGGCCTGCAGAATTTTACAATTCAGAAAAGAAAAAGGAAAAAAGGATTAAGAAATTGGAAACTTTCCCAAGAAAATGGAAGGAAGTATCTAGAGGCAGACTTCTTGTACGCAATGGAATGCGCCAATTGAGAAGCGTCCTGAATTAAACCTTCAAAATTCTGATAACCCTTTATCTTCTTCGCTCTGAAGAACCCCCAAAAGGTTCAGAAATCCCCTTTCGCTGCTGCCATGGCAATGGGTTCCATTTCTCTTAACACAGCTACCAGCTTTTTGAGCCTCACTTCAAGGCGCGCGAACCAGATTTCTTCTAACTTTACATCTCGCTCCTTGAGCTTCACTCTGAGGTCTTTTCAATCGAGAACTGTGGCCGTCAATTTTCCTGTCGCGTCGAGGCGGGGCTTGCGAAGATTCTCGGTCGCTTCGACGGCCGCACCGACGTCCGAGAGCGATGATTCTGATGTTTTGACGAAGATTCCGCCCGACGACCGGATTCCGGCTACGATTATTACCGGATTTTTGGGTTCTGGGAAGGTATGGATTTTCTCTCTTTTCCCGGCTGTATTGGGCCGTTTTAGTTCTCTGTGAAAACTAGGGAAAATTAAGTAGAATTGGCAGCGATGTTTTAGTGTCTTACGCTATTTGGACTGTGATTGAGGGAGTGTTTTTGTTAAAATAACAGTTCAGAAAGCATAGTTCAAATCTTAAGAACGGAGCTTACTGATGATGATGGATTTCACTTGGCATTCCTGAAGTTTCTGTTTATTTCCATCTGTGTCTTGTAGATCCTTGTTTTGGGTTTTTGCCAATATGCCTTTCGTCTTTGAAGAAGAAAAAATGCCTCGGAAATGAAATTTTCTGTCAACTACTTTGGGGAGAATAAGTTATAGTTTCTTTTAGTTTCTTCCAATGGACTGTGAATTGAATGATTCTTTGGAAATATCTAAGAGTAATTTTGGTTCTGCTTGCATCTGGAACTTTGCAGACAACGTTACTTAACCATATCTTGACAGCAGAGCACGGGAAGCGAATTGCAGTAATTGAAAATGAGGTACAATATAGAACTTTCCATGTCTGATCGTGCGGTTCCTTCTGGATTGTATATAAATGTTGCATTGTGTTTTACACCACAGTTTGGAGAAGTAGATATTGATGGTTCTTTGGTTGCTGCAAAAACTACTGGTGCTGAGGACATTATCATGTTGAATAATGGATGTCTTTGCTGCACTGTGAGGGGCGATCTTGTTCGGATGATATCGGAGCTGGTTAATAAGAAGAAAGGGAAATTTGACCATATTGTGATTGAGACTACAGGTACGAACTCGAAGAGTCCCCAATTAGGAATTCGTTATGTAGTAATTAATGCATGTTGGTCCTATCCATGAAGATTTCCATTTCCCGTGGTCTTGTGCTCTTAAAGTTAGCTGCATGGACTAGTTACTTTCCTTAGGATGTGTAATGTTATAGTAACTGGATGTGACATTTTCTTTTATGTTCTATTACCTCATTGGAATATGTAGGATTGGCAAATCCATCACCAATCATTCAGACGTTTTACGCTGAGGACTCGGTTTTTAATGATGTGAAGTTGGATGGTGTTGTCACTTTAGTTGATGCCAAACATGCTGCATTCCACTTGGACGAAGTTAAGCCAGAAGGAGTTGTGAATGAGGCTGTAGAACAAATTGCTTATGCCGATCGAATCATAGTAAACAAGGTATTCATGATTGATGACTTTTTTAGCCCCTAGAAATCTAATATTCAAACAACTCGTCTTAATTTGAGAGTAAGGTTTTCTCAAACCCAAGCTTGTTCACAATTTATGCACAAAAAATTCAAAGCCATCATTTTCCTGTTTGGTGGTAACTTGATAGAATGTCTGCTTGTTACTTTGTTTTTAAGGATTGTGCATTCAAGGTTAATGTCTGTCCTCCCAACTGATAGTGCAACTTAGAAATTTGGCTCTGGCATTCTAAGCTAGGCACCGAGCTTCCTTCCTAACATGCTATTATGCCTCTTTTCGGTATCGTATTAACCAAAAAAAATTCAGCAACCTTGAATATTCTACTTTAGATTAATTTCAGTTTTAGCTCAAAATGCTTGGCTAATTCATGAACTGTATGACACTAGACTGATCTTGTTGGCGAGCCACAAATTGCCGATCTGGTCCAGCGGATAAAGGTTGGTATCTTTATCTTAGCATTATCTTATTTCATTGATTCATTAGCTTCTGAATACATCATTTATATTTCTTTTTCCTTCCGAGAATAGAAAATAAATGGGATGGCTCAACTGAAGAGGACAAAGTTTGGCAAGGTTGACTTGGATTATGTTCTTGGGATAGGAGGCTTTGATTTGGAGAGGTGGTTCCTTCCCATTGACAACTATTTGAATTGTCATTGAAAGAACTGATTCTTTTGTTGTCACTTTTTCAGTATGTAAACAATAATAGACTCCTGTCACCAATAATTTAAGGGGGAAAAAATAAGTCTTGTTAGATAAAAGTATTCAGTTTGGCTCACTCCTGCATGAATTTGTTTGGTTAAGTTTGGATCTCCTTCTCATCCGTATTTCATGTTTACAGGATAGATAGTGCTGTTGATACTGAATCGAGGGAAGAACATGCCAATCATAGCCACCATGACGATCACGACCATGACCACGATCACGACCATGACCATCATCATCATCATGAACATGACCACAATCATGGTAAAATTATGTGTTCATATAATCATGTCACATCCATTCTGCGTTTTTTAAATGTTATGTTTTATATAGAGCCATGCCACTCTTCAGTCCAATTGTCTTTTGGTGACTCTGCAATTTGATGATTCCGTTCATTCATGGATTATAGCTTCATGGTTCTTGCTTTCTATTCTCATGAAAATGGTGCATCATTCAGATTTGTTGTTGATATTTTGCCAATTTAGGATGCTTGAATAGATTGCTTCAGCATCTTGATCATGGGATTGTTGTAACAAGTCATTTCATTGGTACATTGTTACTTTTTCGATCTAACGTCATTTTTCAACTCTTTTATGCAGACCACCATTCACACGATCACGTGCACGATCCAGGCGTTTCTTCTGTCAGTATTGTCTGTGAAGGAATCTTGGATCTTGAGAAGGTTGGTGTGGAAATGGGTTTTTTCTGTTATCAAAACGAACTCTATAATCCTTCATAGATGTGGTATTTTATCAAGCCAACCATATTAAGAATGCCACAAGAGTATTTTCTTCTACTTCTACCATTGTTTCTTCATGGCTATACGTCGAGTTTTGCCCGTGCAAATGATTCTCACCTTTTTGTTGGTCTTGTTCAGGCAAACCTGTGGCTCGGTACATTATTGTTGGACCGAAGCGAAGACATATACCGGATGAAAGGACTTCTATCAGTTCAGGGCATGGATGAGAGATTCGTCTTTCAGGTGAGTGAAAGAAAAATCAATGAAACCAAATCAAATGCTTCACTAAGCCACCCAACAGAACTTGTTGAACTTCCGGAGCCCTTCCCTTCATTTTCTTGTCGGGATTTTTCTCGAGTTCGATAATAAGTTTTTTTTTGGCTGTTGGGTGTGGCAGGGTGTTCATGATATATTCCAAGGTTCGCCCGATCGATTATGGGGCAAGGATGAGCCGAGAATCAACAAGATTGTGTTTATAGGAAAAAACTTGGATGCAGAAGAGTTGGAGGCTGGGTTCAAAGCCTGTTTACTGTGATTGCCTTCTCTGTTCTTCCTATATGGCAACAGAACATGATTTTTGGAAGAAACTGCATTTGAAACATTAATACAGAGATTTTTTCCCCTTCATTGTGTTCTCCTTCGATATTACTATGGTATTAAATATCCGTCGACATGTTCATGTACCCTTGAGTTCGACATCGACACAAGCGGCAAAGCGATATTTCTATAATATTACAAAAAAATCGATAAAATGTGAAAAATATCAATAAAAAATTATTAATATAGATAGAATATTAATATTAATCCATTTTAATTTATTAGTTGAAATGTTTATTGGTTAATTTATATATATTTTATGAATTTTATAACCTTTCTATAAATATCTCGATATTTTTATTTGACATTTTCATCATCAAGATCGACATTTAAAATCTAAACTCTCGATGACTGCCTCCTCAATTTACTAACTAAAATAATGTCATATAGCTCAATTGGTTATATAACCTCAACAAAAAAATGTTGGGAACTTCAACCAAAAAGTTGGATCCTCCAATATTGTTAAAACCCTAAAAACAACTCATTTATTAAACTTTTTATAATTCAACGAAAAATAAAATTAAATGACAAGAAAAAAAAACCATATAAATTCGTAACTCCCACTGGTAGAAAGTTTCAGAATTGTGGCAACTTCCCCGATCGAAAAACTGCGAATTTCGAAGTCTCCGAATACGAATAATCAATCCCATTCTCCTTCAAAAGTTCTTCCAACAAATTTCTATCCCGCTCCGGCTCCTCACTCTCGCATTCGATCTCGTAATTTATTCCGAAATCGAAAATCGTTTCATCCAATTCCAGTTTCAATCCCTTCCATTCATAAACCTGCCTCACGTTCCTGAATCCTCCTAAACAAACAAATCCAATTTTCCCAATCCCATACTCTTCCCTCACTCTCTCCATTATCTTCGATGATTCAATTGATTGCAGGCGATCCGGATCGGCGACGCAGGCGCGGCCGACCGTCGGCTCGAGCGGCTCTTCGTGCTCCTCGATGCGGCTGATTCCGCCGGAGATTACAGGTTTCGCTTTGAGAGAGAGTACGCAGTGGCTGTCGTCGTCGTAGAATCGGATCCTGAGGACGGCGAGGTTGGAGTAGAGCTCGGCGTTCGCGCCGTCGAAGAAGACGTTCTCTTGAACGTGCGTTTTGAGGTGATATGAGGAGAGCAGATCGGAGAGTTTCTGGTGAGATGAAGAATCTGCGAGGCGAAGCTTTATCTCCACCTCCACTGGTACATTTACCTCCGAAACATGGCTTCTGATTCTCGATTCAATGCGGAGGGAAAGAGAAGGATTGTGTTTGGCTGCTGAGGAAACGGTAACGCGATTCTTTTTCTGGAGATTGTTCTTCGAGACGACGGTGGTACGACGAAGGAGACAGCAATCGCCGGAATTGGGAATCAATCGGAGACTCATTTTGGTGGTTGAGGGCAGAGAAAAGATTGGATTAGGGTTTGAATTTGTGAACCACGGACGATCCGATGAATTTTCCGGATGATTTTACAGATTAGATAAATAGGAACACACCTTCAACTGGAAAGCGAGTGAAACAAGAACTTCCTAATCTTCTTTTAATTCACTCTCAATTTAATCTTCAAATCTTTTAAAATTATCCGTTTAACAAAAATTTAAAATTTAAAATTCTCAAATTTAGTTTTATTGTATTATTATTTTATCAACTTATTAAATATGTGTACTAAGAAAAACATATTTAAATTAGGTTTATGTGAACAAAGTTCTAGCAAATTTTCTGTATATAACCTAATTGAAAATTTTCAATACATTGAGGGCAAAATCGAGAATTCCAAAAAGAATAAAGGATCAAATTGAAAAAAATCTTAAAGATTAGGAATCATTTGAGTGATTTTGTTACTTGAACTTTTACACTTTTTTAAAAAAGAAAAATTAATTTGTTTTTTTTTTAGTACAATTTAATTTTAGTTTTAGTCCTCAAACTTGATCTCTTCTTATTCTCTACCAATTTAGGACAAGACTTTTATAACCAAGAATAAATGTGAAATTTATTAAAAGCTGTAGAATTAAAATCAACTTTTTAAACTTAAAAGGATAGATAAAAACAAAGAGACCAAAATCAAGACTTTAAAAGATCATTGGTAAAAAAAAAACACACATATATATATATAGTAAAAGTAAACAATATAGAGGATCAAATATCCAAAAAGAAGAGAGATTAATGTTTCTTTTCCCCCAACGTAATTAATAACAAAATGGTAATAATCCAATAGGAAAAATTAACAGTGATTTTATTATTATTTTTTTTCACTAGTGAATTAACTAGTAAACTTCTGCTGCCTTAAATATTCATCCCAAATTTGAATCTCTTCAATTTACAAGTACCTTTGTAAAAGTTAAAAAGAAAAAAAAAAGTTCATTTTTCTCTTCAAAGATCCCTAGATTTGGCAGAATGTTGTAATGCTAACAAAGTTGCTTTGAAATGTTTGAAGACGAGAGATAAATTTGGTTGGTGATGAAAGATTTCTGATAGGCCAACACCATTCCTCCATACCTGTTTTCTCCACAAAAATCCACACCATATAAGATCATCAGTCATAGAGAGAGTGCTAAACAAAATAGTTTTGGTTTTAAAAGATTCAATACAAATGATCTGATCAATGTTTTTATTTTCAATTTTAACTTGCATTTCAAAAAAAAAAAAAACACATCATGAACAATAATCTTACAAGTGTAAAAGGTTATTCTCAAAAGAATGTTCATAAAATGGTTCCGAAAATCGATTCACAACTCAAGTAATTTGAAGTATATATGCCAAGATTCAAGAATCTTACCTTGGGAGAATTGAGTGTCTCATCATGATCTTCAAGAGGAGCCATGAAACCAGAAGCTACTTCATTACAAAGTTGATGGCTTTTGTTTATGCTCTGAAATTGCTGGTTTATCTCATACACCAGATTTCTGCTTTCCTCCAAACTGTCAAACAAAGCTTTCTTCATGTCTCTTGTATCTTCTTCAAGGATGTTCAGTCTTCTACTGATCTTCTCGACTTCACAAGCTTTAACTCTTGAACCAGGTGTGTCTTTCGACGGTTTTTTCGCAACCCCATTTTGATCAAATGCTCTTAAAACCATCTCATGACGTGAACCATCTGCTTCCATTCTATGACTATGAGGGAATTCTTGGTGTTCTGCCATTGTAACTGCCTCAGAAAAGAGTCACCTTCTGAGGCCAGTTTGTAAGTTTTCTTGCCTGTTGTGTGAACTTTTTGAAGCACAAGGAAAACTTTCTTACTTGGACTGTAAAAAATTTCCAACTTTTGGGCTCCGTAGAGAGAGAGAGAAAGAGGAATTTTATACTTGGGAAAGGGTGCCATATGGAGAATGTGAAGAGGACGATAATAAAGTTTAGCTTCAACAGTGTTGGAAAAAGAAAACACGATGAAAAGCTTTATAGTCTTTTTATGTTCTCAACATAAATGAGATTTAGGTTAAAAATAACAAAAAAAGGTTAAACTAATCTAAATTTTAGAACATTTTTAACAAGTACTAAACCAACCATTAGGCACAATATTTTTAAAGTTCAAAAGGCCACTGAGACGCAACATTAAAGGTTCAGAGGCAACTTAAAGTTCATGGACGTATCAGATACAACTCTAGAAGTTTAGCCTCACTAAAAACAGATGAAAAAAAAAAAGAAAAAAGAAGAAGAAAGAGAGGAGAGGTTGGGTTGGGTTGGAGACATCATTGTGACATGTGAATGAATGTTGCTTACCTGAGAGGGTTGCAGTGGCAAGTAATCATGCTTTAAAGATACAAGAAATGGACTCAACAGAACACTCCAAATTTTATTTTCCAGAGAGAGAGAGTTGCACATTTCTCAAGGTGAAGTTTTTAGTGTAAACCTGTTATTAGGATGAAGATTGTAAGTCGGTTGATCCCATGAGTCTCTAATGGCGGCTTTTGGAGGATTGCTGTATCAAGTAGGCAGGTTTTGGCTCCTTTTCTGCAGAAGCTTTGGCGTCATGTAAAATCCTGTAGCTTTTTAAAACCATCAACCTTATCTTCACCTTGTAAGAAAGCAATGAAGTGAAAGGGTGAAGATAAATAAGAGACCTTTGAATGCTTCTGATTGAATATTTACAGTTCAAGGAATTATCCATAACTAACTCACATGACCCATTTACACATACCACCATCTAAATGGCTAATCAGATTCCGTCTATTAAAAAGATCAAATTCACCACGACTAGTAACAGAGCAGAAAATTCTAAAAAGTTGGGGCAAATTCGACAAAAGATAATGTTTTTTTGAGAAAATTTTCGATAAGATGGCCTGTAATCTTTGAGATCTAACATCTTTCTACAAAAAGATGAGCCATAAAATTAAATTGAGTATATGATTGCATAAATGAACATGTCTGAAGAATTGAAGTTGTTCATCAAGACGTTGATATTTGATGCTTCCACTGAAAATTGATCATTTCCGAACTTCATTTTGGTTTCATTGTGTTCCTCTTTGTTGAGAAAGGGAAAGATGTAGGAGCCAAAAGAGTAGCTTAAATAGTCATCTCAATCGACTGGCACCTCAACCTCCATTTTCAGTCCAGAATTTCCCAGAATCTGCAAAAGAACAGAAGGAAAAACAATTCATTTCATGACATAAATTTGATATGTATTTTAAAAAATGACACAACTTTTTTTTTTTTTTTCAAACGTAGCATAACTTTTGACTTTTCCAAATGTATTTTACATTACATTCTAGTTTGACTCTATTTTTGTAAAATTTTAACTTCTTCTCTACTTGAAAATACATATTTTATTTTATAATACTCATGTAAATACCTCAAATAAATAATATTGGAGCACAGAGAATCAATGAAGCCAGAAAATAATGTGCAGTTCACAGTAAGTTCAGATGACAGAAGTCAATACAATAATAGTTTGTAAGAGATCACAGAAATGAACTAGATGGCTTATAGGAAAATTCATGGAAAAGTTACACGGTGCAGGACACCAAGTGATCAATAATGAAGTCGTTTCGAAGTGTAGAAAATAAGCTACTCAACCATGATTGTGCGGGAGGTTGTCGTTCAGATGCTAAAGAATCAGTAACTTTGAAATCTGTTATGATATTTCAGCAGTGAAGTCTAAATCTCAACAATAAACTTCTGTTATTTGCGGTTGTCTAGGAGATTTCAAATATGATTGCAAATGTTAATGACTATTGTTTCACAAATTTTCTTGAGATGGCAAATATGAGAACACAAGCTACTTCATCTTTGCTGTGATATTTGGCTAGTTTTAAACGATTTATGTAAACCATTTTCTCAACTTAATTAATCTAAGTTTCCAAATAAGTATTAATTATCTGGTTTAAATCTCATTTTGGTTCCTAAACTTTTAGGTTGGTTCCATTTTGGTCTCTAAACTTTCAAAATGTCTATTTTAGTCTCTAAACTTTTAGAAAATAATTATTTGGTCCCTAAACTTTTAAAAAGCAACTGTCTAGGTCTTGATATATTATTTGTCGTCCAATATTCACTTTCCTAATACTTGTCTTCAACATATGTGGTTTGAGTACATGCTCACATTAATATGTTAATATAGATACCTAAAGCCACACTAGCAATTTGTTAAAAATAGAACTAAAGGTAAGAATAAAAATGGTCATTTTTCCAAAGTTTAGGGATAAAAATGGAACAAACTTTAGAGTTCGGAGACCAAAATGGACATTTGAATAGTTCAAAGACCAAAATGAAATAAACGTTAAAGTTCAGGGACCAAAACGGGATTTATAATAAGAGTGTCAAAGCAAGTCACTTTTTCTTGTCGGTCCAAAAGAGTAAGAATGAGATTTTATGATAGGATGAAACAAACCTTGACAAAATCGTCCTGGGTTAAATGAGATTCCTTTGAGTAACCTGCTTCCTCTAGAAGTTTGCTCAGGACTTGCTGCAAAACAGATGAAGGGACAAAACTAATAGAACATGCCATGTGCTTAAAAAATCCCTAAGGCTCATGAGGTTTGATGTAGAGTTTTACGTACCTTTCTTTGGTCATCAGACATGAAAGGACCAGACAAATCCCGTAGCACTTCTATCATTGCATTGAAAGACACCTTCCCATGTAAGTCCACATCGTAAACTTTGAACATGACTGGTGGAATGAGAATAACAATAACTGATGAGTTCAAACTTTTTCCAGATCACAAAGCCCATTAAATCAGCATAATGTAGACCAAGATTTTAGCTCGTCAAATTTGTAGTTAAAATAGTATAATGTCAGTGGCTGTAAAGCCTGTAATAAAAAAACACAATGAAACGACAAAAGAAGACAAGAAAAGAAAACAAGAGAAGAGAGTGTCATGTTTCTGATAGGCAGAAGTAGATATAACTACTGAAGTGAGTCCCCTCTCCCTCCATTTGGAATGAAGAACGCTATAGAATAGAGAAGTTTAATAAACATTTTGACCCAAAACTGTACAGTATCCAAGAAGATATCAAAATGGCTACCAAAAACTGAAAAACCAAATTCACTAAAGTGCTATATCCACCTATTAAGCCCTACTGATCCAAGTACAATAGATCGAGGCTTGACAAGACTTCCCCCATTTCATTATCTCTTTAGTCTTTTGTTATTTCACATTTCAGGAAAACTAGAATCATATTTGATAACTTATTAACCATTCCATGAATTTTCTAATTCCTTAAAATTCAAAAACAAAAGAATAAGAGCCTAGTTTGACAGAAGTGCAAAATGAAAAACGTTTTTCAAAGGAACACATTCTTTTTTAAATACTACAATTGATTTGAAATGCCTAAATCAGGTAATGGTTCTCGAAAAATTTCTCTAAAATTGGGAAATAAAAGTGGGAAATATAGACCAGAATCGCTTCGAATTTTAAAGACAAATTTTATCATAACTACAGAACACTGCCAAACTAGCGAATTTCGAGTTTCATCAGATAGGATCTAATACTCGCAAATATACATTTTATACATACGTTCAATTTTACGTTGGATGCTAGCTTTAGCACTAAATGCAGACAAAAATGCCACGAAATCCTTAAAGTTCAAGCCATCAACCATTTTCAGCAGCCTCTGGGAATACCAAAAGGAAAGGAAAAGCTATCATTCACCGGTTGAAGTACACACACTTCACAAAATCAGGCTCAGAAACTAATTATTTTCAAGAAATTAATCATAGAATTCGTTCAGATAACCTGCGAAAGGGGATTCATTGCGAATTCTGGGACTGACAAGAACTCGTCAGCCAAAATGTATCCCTTCGAGTTCCGATCAAGTTGACAAAATCTCTCATACAGTGACACTATTTCTTGTTGCGTAACTGAATTGCATATCAAAAATGAATAAGAACTGGTAAAATTAGAAGTGAAGATTACCCAAAGAAATAATTTAAGAGATCGATAATACCCACATAGGTTATTGCAGTGGCATTGAACTTCTTCAATATCATATTGAGTGAGCATCGAGGAGGAGTTCCCCATTTTGATCGGTGAGATTCAATACGCGCAAATCAAATCTACGGATTGCCGGGAATTTGCAAGGGAAAGGGGATAAATCAAAACAACTTCAGGAACACTGAAAATCAATACCTTGTCAAACTCAAGAGAACGAACTAATTCTGTCTGGTCGCTGATTTATCAGAAAATTTTCCAGGAAACCAAACAGGATGTGAAAAAATGATATGATATGAGCAATCTGTGGACTGCCGATCTGGGACTGAGGAGCTGTTTTTGCATGAAACTGGCTTGAGTTACTGGCCGGGAATTTGCTGTGATATGAGTTACTCGTACACAAGATGCAAGAAATGGTTTTAAATGTTGTGATTTGAAGGTCAGAAAATAATTAATTTTTGGTTAAAAAACACTTTTTGTCTACCTACTTTTAGTGTCTGTAATTTCAAATGGGTAACGATTTAGTTTTTGGTAAATTTTTTTTGTTAAGTTTCTTGTATATAGATGGATAGACTATAGAGAACMAAGCAGGTTTATAAATTAGAAATATTAAATTATTATAGGATAAAATTTGATACTTAATTTTAATAAAATTTCTTACGATAAGGACTAAATTGTTACAAATTTAAAAATGCAAAGACTAAATCGTTACAAATCAAAGTTCAGGTACTAAATTATTACGAACTAAAATTCAAGGATTAAATTGTTACTTTAGCAAAAATACAGCAATCAAATGTGTTTTTTAACCTTAATTTTTTTATAGAACTATTTGAAATAAATATAATTAAATATATTTATTAATAGACTTGCTGAAAAGAAAAATTTATAGATATAGATTTTTGACCTTAATTTATTAATTAAAATTATAATATAATAGAGTTAAATAAGTAATTTATTTGCTTGACACCTATCTACTTAAAAAAATATATTTACTTTAAAATATTATAAAGATGATGGTTATTAATATTTTAAAAATCAATTTAAAGTGATTTTAAGCTTATTTAAAATCAATATTTTAATTTGTCAAATATAATCAATGGAAAAGAAGTGATTTGAGAATGTCAAAAATAATTTTGATCATGATAAAATTACTCTCATACACACCCTAAGATCCCACCATTTGATAAAGGGTTCAAGAGTTCCTTCGCTTTTTAAGTTATGGAGAACAAATTATGTTCTCATCACATTCAACGAAATCCAGTCAGGAATTTGAAATTACATTAGATTGATAAACAATTGAAACCTGTACTAAAATACCAGTTTCCCATAGATAAATTGCATTAGTTACCCTCTTCCATGATTTGGCACCAAACATTTCAAAAACTTCAAGTGTGGGAGTGAGTATTCGAACCTCCGACTTTTTTAACTGAGGATATATATCTTAATCGGTTACGCAAAAGAAATACAAAGTCCAAAAACGAAGCATCGTGTGTTATTAGAAAAATCCACCAGAATCAGAATCCATTCAGGCAGTAAAATTGAAATAAAACATTTTTTCTTTTCTCTGGGAGTGGTTGAGAATTTGACAAAATAATAAGAACCAAACCATCTATGGAAGCTTGGATCGATTACAGTCCAGATTTGCATTATTGGAGGAAGTACATGGAGGGTTTTTTAGCAAGCATCGAGGTCCCGGCATGGTGGTGGTTTTGGGTCGCTTAGCAAGGTCGTGTTTCCTCCTTCTGGTCCACACCGTATGCGTCCAGGGTTTTGTGTTCCATGCTGAAATATGGGACAAGGATGCCACATTTTAGATCATGAAGCAGCATCGGGATAAAATTGCAAAAGAGAAATCTGAGAACTAATATGGGAACTCGACATAGATGAGTCAGTTTCGTTACCGGTGGTTTCTCCCCCCTTCTCAACATCTCTACTATCTCAACGATGCGTTTAGGAGTGACATCTTCCTGAAAATGGCAAAATACATGTGAATTCAACAGAACACTTATGATTTGAATACAAGGAGTCTATTTTGCTTGTTAGAATGAAAATATTAGTCCGTTTTCCATGGTAAAATGAAAATATTATGCTGCACCTACATAGTAATTGTAGGTGTATCCTTCAGATCCGTTCGAGTAATCTGCGACTGTAATCATTGGAGCGTTAACACAACATCCCTGCAGAAGATCAGCAGATATCAGCTCATCACTTAGGTCATTCAACAAGTCAGAGGGGTATTCCAAAAGAGGAGAGATGGAATTAGAGGTTGAAAACATGGAAAAGAATCAGGAATTTATCTAATGCAAGGACAACGAAAAATAAATTCAAAAGCAGTTCGGGCAATGCCAACTTACATAAACACACATCTAGAATTTCTTCATCCGAATAAGAGAGAAATAAAGAAGAGGGGAAAATATATATCCATAAAATTACTTAAGAGCAAGGCCAGGAATGAGACAGCTCCAATCAGCCATGCTATTAGTTAAGCAAAAACAGTATAAAGGTCAAGATTGATGCCAAGGAAAGAGAACAGATAGAAAAAGAAAGAAATCTCACCATGCATTCCATTTCTCCAACAGAGAACAAACCATCCTTTGTTACTTCTGCACATCACAAATATTATGGGCTTATCTTCAAATTTATTTACCTTCAAAGTTTTAATAAAATGTAGAATAAGAAAAAATGTGTCGACAAAGTTTGATTATTATTGTAACAGCTGTGCTATAGAACTTCAGATTGTTGATCATGAGATCAAATATTGTGCATGTATATGAACCAGATGAAAAGTAATGACTTGATAAGCTCAAGATTTACCGTTGCGCTTCACTCCCAAATGTTTCAATAAAGTATCTTCAATTTCTCGAGAGCCACGAATCATACATGGAGTAGTGCCACAAACTAATAAGTGGTACTTGCCCACCTGAAAATCAATTGATGAAGTTCGGCAGGTAAGCTGGGAGCCACACAATTTTGAATATATATACCAGAAATCTGAATATAAATGAAGACACAATATGAACTTATTTTATTCTCTCTCACCTTGGCTCGATTGAACATTGAATAAAATGTTGCAACCTCATACACACGGATAGGAGCAACCTCTATAACCTTAGCTACCTGAGTCAAACATAAAAGCACCTTTACATCGAAATATTCACATAACATCCATCATAACCAAAGGCTTAATTAAGTTTCTCCATTAGTACACTCTGAATCAACTTCCAACCAACCAAACTATTGTGCAGACTGCAGAGTTTAACATTCAACTCATAGTTTCCAAAAAAAAAGAACCAAAGGAATGACTTCAGATTTAAAGACTCACCAGCAATCTAAATATTTGGAGAGCATGAATCTTGGGGGGGGGTTGCCAGATAGTGGGAATGATCTCATCAGATTTTCACTATTGAACGTAGTAGATTTTTCATTAATTTTTCGGGGTAATGCTTCCCAGTACTGACACAGAATTCAATCTAAGAGCATCTTAAAAGCATAGCCCAACATACCGCATTCATTGCAGAAACAGGAAGCCATCCTCCATGCTGCTGTTGTGCAAGATCTAACAAAGGAATGACTGCAGATTGTTTATAGTTGGAGGGATAGTGGGATATTATCTCTGCAACCTGTACATAAATACGATCCACTAAACTGTAAGATTAAAAAACAATCAAGCAAAATCAGCAGAAATGATTGTAAGACCAAGTATGACAGCATCCCAATAATATTAAGCACAGCAGAAGATCTATCTCTACTCGAACAAAAAAGAGAATTAAGCTTCCACCCATAATATATGATGAAATAGATTTTAAACTTTTATCGCGTTTGACTTTGTGAGAATGAGGTTTCTAAAAAAGCTAAGCAAGTGATGAATACAATGTCTGCAGACACTAGTTCATTGTATCACTCACCAATACTGATCCCACAATGATAGTTTAAGATATTATGATTTCATGTAAAGTGGGGCAAAAATCTTTCAAGAATATTATCAATTATTTTGTGGCATCACGAATGTTGGGCATTAGTTCGGTTAAATCCTCTAAAGTCTAAAGCAACATACCAACCATAAAAAACCGCAAAAAAATGTGCATTGGTATACAATGCATCATTCTGGCTATATACATTGGTATCACGCTTACGTTATTCTTTTCCCTTTTTATTTAGATGACAGGGTGTGACATGAAATTGATGAGCTCGAAGCAAGGCGTAAGGAAAGTTAATATCGTAGCAATTCTCATCCATCCTATCGAGTTGCTCGATCACCTTAGCAGGATAGTTATTTTTCTCATAAAGTGTCATAAGACAAGCCAAATACAGAACGATACCGATCTGGAAAGATGAAGTTTCCATTCAGATATCCCAGATCAATAGAGACTAAAATATTCACATTTCGGAACCAGAACGCCAGAAATTCGAAAATTCCGAGAGCATTCGAAACGGTTTACCTTCTTTTTGTTTGCCTCAGAGAATTCCCATGGAAGATCGGGACTGTTATCTGGGGTATCAATATGCTGCTCCGCGATAAAATTTCGATTGATTAGCTCAACATAAATTGGGCATTTCATTAAATTAATGCGCAAAACAGCGAAAATGAAGAAATAACAGTGATGGACTCACATAGTTGAGGGCAGTGGAGAAGCATCGCGATGTCTGCAGCAGACATGAACACAAATTAGAGAAGGGAATTGGAAGGGAAGAGAGTGAAAGATAAAGTGGAAGAAAACCTGACGGAAACTTTGACGGATTCCGGCGAGACGATTGGCAGCCACGCGAGCTAGCATTTTCTGGAGGGGGGAGAGAGAGAGAGAGAGAGAGAGAGAGAGAGAGAGAGAGTTGAATTCAGGGCCTGGAAATGGAGTCGGAGGAAGCAGCTGCCTGCAACTGCATACAGTCATGAGATCTCGGGAGAGGTAGGCCCACTTCGGCCCAATTACTCGATTTAGATATTGGGCCTAGGCCAGCCAATTAACACCTCAGGCCCATTGAAATGGTTTGATGGGTTGAATTATACAAAATAACCTAGAGGTAATTTCAAGATTTAAATACTATTTTCGTCCTGCTCTTTTCTTTTTATTCATTTTTGTCATTTTAATTTTATAGCATCTATTTGTCTATGTACTTATGAAATGTTCTTTTTAGTTTATTCACTTTTAAAATTGACCATTTTAATTTCTATTTGCAAGATATTGAGACTAAAATAAATAAAAGTTAAAAAACAAATACTCAAAATATAGATTTAAATCTATAGAATATAATCAAACAAATTCAAGATTGCATCAACTAAAATAGTATTTGAATTTAATTTTAATTATGATTTTGACCAATAATGACTTTGAGATTCATTTCCAATTAAAAATAATAATGAATTGGTATTTTCTATTTTGTTTAATAAAATATTTTTTATTTAGTCAATTGTGTTAGTTCACGTCACTTAAGGTCGACAAGGAAAAAAAAAGGAAGTGTGAGTTTGCAGGGGAAGAATAAATGGTCACCATAATTTTTTTTTCATTAAAATTCAGAATATATTATGTAATCAATTGAGTTATTATCAAGTCCTATTAGGAATAATTTTAATTAAAAAGCATCTTTAAAATCAGTCAAAAAAAATATTTCGATTGAAAGGACACCTTTATGATAGATAACTCAACTTTCCCACCTTATATATACATATATTTAAAAAGTGAAACTTGGAAAATCAAATAATTTTATTAGTACTACGACATCCCTTCAACCTTCTTCAACTTTTATGGTCAAGCTATGCCAACACGAGTGGAAAAATCAAATTTTTGTTTTATGTAAAAAGATTTAAATATAGCAAAATTGAGTCATCAGGAGTCTAAGGTAATTATCACATACTACTGACTACCCAGTCATGAGTTCGAGACTCCTTCCCCCGAATTTGTTACTAAAAAAAATAGCAAAACTGAATCTATAAATATATAAAATTCACGTATTAATTATTAAAAAAGAAAGAAAAAAAAAAGGCTGCAAATTCACGTCAAAACCCCTCCTCTCCCCCGCTCCCGGTCAGCGGTAAAATGTAGTATCCAGTCCTACTTTTTCCTGCATAAACATCGTCCGCCACGACCCACACTTCACACCTGCAAGAAAAAGCGCGCCAAACTTCACGTCTGTTTTCCGGCCACCGCACGATGCCGGAGTTACCGGAGGTGGAGGCGGCGAGGAGAGCCATAGAAGAGCATTGTGTCGGTAAAATGATCAAGAAGGCGCTGATAGCCGACGATCCGAAGGTCATCGACGGCGTATCGCCCTCCGACTTTGAGGCTTCTCTCGTAGGCAAGACCATTCTTTCCGCTCATCGCAAGGGCAAGCACCTGTGGCTCCGCCTCGATTCTCCTCCTTTCCCTGCATTTCACTTTGGTACGCTTCCAATCCCTCTTCTATCCCTGCTCTTTTGAACTGCATGTGGTATTTCATATTCACGTTTGGTATTTTGCTACTGACAATGGATTGTTTTACCTTATTTGTCGTAGAACCACTTGTTTATTCGGGTGGAAATCAAGTGAAATTTGGATTTTAATTGGTTTCACGCGAACAATGTATGTGTAGGAAAATTGTGAAATTTATGCTGTATTTAGAACTGAGTGAATACGAATAGTTACTTCAACTATTTGGATTTTAGAATTATTGTTAATGGTGCTTCTAGTTCTAGTTTTCTAATTCACGATGCGGCTGCCTCTATTTTGGTTTCTTTCTACGTTGGAAGTACTAAATTTGTCCCCATTTGAAGTGGGCTGCTTGGAGACTGCTGTGCTCAAGTATTTAGTTCGTTAACCAACAAAACTCTTTTATTTACCGGTGATCAAGGTTTACCTTAAGTTGACATTCTCTTATGTTTTCCCCGTTGTTTGGGAACTTCTCATGTATATATATAACATTAAAACTCATTCTTTTATTCTTTTAGACTCCCTTTGATCTCATTCCTTTTCGTGTTGATTTACTTCAGGGATGGCGGGTGCCATTCATATCAAGGGTGTAGCTGTTACAAACTATAAAAGGTCAGACGTGATTAGACTAAATTCGTGGTTCATGCTCTCTGCAATTACACCTAGAAAGTCGTGCTTATTTGTAGGTTTTTGGATTGGCACTGGGTGTTAGCTGATGGTTCTTGTTAACATAGTTTACACCTAAATGAAAAGTTACCCCGTTTCAAGTGTTGGAAGGAATCAAATTACTTGTTTCAAGATTTTAATTTGGCTATTCTTCATGTTGAGAGCTCATATAAATAATCCAAAATAATGGAAGTATAAGAAATTGATGAACTGCTATTAGTTATAATACCTACTTTGAGTTATGCGAGCGGACTAGACAGAGAACAATTCTTTGCTAATTTCTTAAGTACGTTTTCTTATAAAAGTCAACTACTATCATTGATGTCAAGGGAAGGATTTTTATATCATCATACTGAACGGTATATTGAAACACAGAATATAAAATGGTAGATTTTATTGTTTGTACCCTTGTTCAATTGTCCAGGTTTTTTCACTGAATATTTTCTGAACATGATTTAGACCGCTCAAATTATGCAGTCTCTTACAAATATATCAATGTGCTTTCCTCATTAATTACAAAGAGAAATTTCTGACTGTGATTTTTGTTTGAAAAATGGTGATACACACAGGTCTATGGTTAAGGATGATGATGAGTGGCCTTCTAAGTACTCTAAGTTCTTTGTTGAGGTAAGATAATGTGTTTCCACATTTAGTAAAAGGCTTCTAACTATTTCTTTGCTCTGTATAGCTGAAGTGTATATTTGTCTTATATTAATTTACCTTCTTACTTCACACTAATATCTATAACATAATAAATTTCTTCAGTTCTTTGTAACTTGTGTCATCACAACATAATCCCATAAATCTCCTTCTGCAGCTCGACGATGGGGTAGACCTATCCTTCACAGACAAAAGGCGGTTTGCGAAAGTCTGCTTGCTCAAAGATGTAACTTAAATGACTTGTGAACCACCATCAATTTCATTGATTCTTTTATTTGATGGATTGGACATTTTAGAAATGAATCACCACCAATTTCATGCATTCTTTTAATAGATGGACACTCTTGATAGCTTTCTAACAACTCTGTTTTTTACAGCCACCTTCAGTGCCCCCAATTTCTAAGCTTGGCCCAGATGCTCTTTTAGAGCCTATGAAACTGGATGTGTTTATTGAATCCTTGGGCAAGAAGAAACTGGCAATTAAGACTCTATTGCTTGATCAGGTAAAAATTTCTACAGAAGAACAACAAGATTGCACTGTTTTGTATCTGTTCAGTGTTTGTTCATCTTGGTGTTGGATTAAAGAACTAACTCTGTATAAGTTGCAACTTGCAGTATCACAGAGTATTATCAACTTCAATGCTTCGAAGGATTAGAAATTAATTTTATTTTCCAGGTTAAAATGATGATTTGTATGAATCTCCACTTATCTTTGCAGAGCTATATTTCAGGTATCGGCAATTGGGTTGCAGATGAAGTGCTTTATCAAGTAAGTTCACCTTACTTTTTCAGCCTGAAATGTAATGTGATTAAAACCATAGGGATGATATGTATTTCATGATGCTACTCTATGTGTTAAAATATGGATACAGCTTCCTTTTCTCTTCCGTTTGTGGAGACTACTTTTGGGGCTTCAGATGAGGAGTAATCAGTTAAAAAAATCCATTTAAATATTGTTCTCAGGCGAGAATTCATCCAAGTCAAAGTGCTGCAACCCTATCCAAGGAAAGTTGTGCAACTTTGCACAAGTGCATACAAGAGGTACAAGTTTGATCTTTTCCTCCCTCCAAACCAAAACACATCCCATTCATTCTTCATGGAAAATATAGAGGAACCACCTGTAGGTCCTCGAACGAGCTGTTGAAGTTGATGCCGAGTCCAACAGCTTTCCTGAAGAATGGTTGTTTCATTTTCGGTGGGGCAAAAGGCCTGGACAGGTCAATGGTAAGCTCAGTTAGATATTTGATCATTTTGATGAAGTAACTGTATTCACAGGTAATTGAAAAAGCACTTGAAGTTGGAGCAGATAGTAGTCAGTTCCCTAATAATTGGATTTTTCATTCACGTGAAAAGAAACCTGGGAAGGCTTTTGTTGATGGTCTGCTCTTGACACTCTAAGACTTTTTCTTATACTTCCATCAGTTTTATCATTTCTTACTGTTTCTGAGATTATTTAGACATGAATTGTTCAAATCCAATTAATTTCTGTTTGAAGAATATAAGATCATGACCTTGTTTGTACTGTTTTTTAAGGAAAGTTTGTGCTGCTTTTATTTGACCATTTCAGGCTTTCTACGCGGGTTAAGTAATTTCATGTTTGAAAGATAAGAAAATCCAATCTTTCTTTGACCAGCCAAACCTTCTCAAGGTTGTTTTCTTCCTTCAAAACAATAAACAAAAAATAACTCTCAACTATAATTCCCGTTTATCTTCTGCAACAGAAAAAGGAGTAGTGTATAAGAATCGATAATCAATAAGTCTGGGATCTAGTTAGACTTAGTGCCTCCTTTTGGTGTTGGTTTCTAAGGTTTTTTGTAATTACTAGTTAGATGTTATTCTTTTGAAGTGTAGTCCTTCCCTTTTTGGAGGCTTGTTTTTTGTATGCCCCTTGTATATTCTTTCATATTCCTGAATGAAAGCTCGGTTCTTGTGAAAGAAGCAAATGATTCCTTGGAGGCTTGGATTTTGATCTTCCCCTAGATTATCTTGTTACTTTGTAGATTATGTTTGATTAGATGATAGTCATTAATGTTCAAAAGACGTGGTATTCTTGGCTTGCTTCCTTATGCTTTTGTTATTGTTTTTGCGTTCTCTCAAACATGTCTGCCTTACGTGGTGGCAGGTAAGGAAATCCATTTTATCACAACAGGCGGCAGGGTAAGTTGCTATAGAACATGAAAGCTAGTTTTGCAAATTCATCTCGCATTATTACATTATCATTTAAGGACCTCACCTGATGACATATATTATTTTCTCGCCTTAGACATCAGCCTTTGTACCTGAGTTGCAAAAGCTTATCGGAGCAGAACCGAAAACTCAAAATTCAAAGAGAAAAATTGATGGTGGCAAACAAATGGATGATGAGGGTGTTGGTGAACTAGTGAGCAAGACAAAGGAAACTGCAGATACAACTGACACAAAGAAAAAGCCAAAGCCTAACGGTCGCTCTAAGAAAACAAAAAGAAAATCCAAAAGCATCGAGACCGATGAGTCTGATGAAGAAGGTGAAAACGATGATGCTTGTGCTGACGATGATGGTCACGATGTTGGAAAGAAGAAAGCGGGAAAGAAAACGAACATTGGGCGAATACGTGATGCTTCTGAAGAAGATAAGTCCTTGAAGCAAACGGTTCAAAGCCGTGGAAATGGCAGGCAGAGGAAGAAAGCAAAGTAAGTTTATGTACTAACAGTTGATTATGTTGCGAACTTGCCCTTTTGTCATTACTGTTAATCCTGGCCGTAGATGGCTTTTGTATCATGTGTTCTGCCCCTATCATTTTGAAGAATGTTGACAAGTTTAGGAAAAGGCAAATCTACCCTTCTTGGTTCGGCTCGTTTTCTGAATGCACTTCTGTTTATTCATCTCTCTAAGCACGATTCTGTAGGGTCTATTTGATATTTATTTTATTTCTCTATTCTCTAATCTAATTTTTTAAAGAATAGTTTAACAAAACCGATAAATTATGCATAGGTTAAACAGAGGAAAAGTAGAATCAACTGGGTGATTTTAGAATGATAATTTGAATATGGCCCCTTGAATTGTAATGATATTATAATAATTAATGTGTTTGCTAATATTGAAAAATATGTATATAAAATATGAAAAAGATAACGTAAGAAAATGTAATTATGAAGCAGTGTTTAAATCATTTCTAAATTTAAACAATCAAGTTCTAAATTTAAACAATCAAGTTAATAGATAAAAATACACTTCACCTCCAAATGTAATAATAAGTTTCTCTATTTTAAAAATATTAAACAATCAAATTAATGGATAGAAATACACTTTACCTCCAAATGTAATAATAAGTTTTTATATTTTAAAAATAACCATGTAACAATCTAAGTACTGGTTTGGATAATATAAGATTTATATTTTAGTGCACAAAGGGTAGGTGATAATTTAATCCCTCCGAGGACATCCAATAAAGTGCAGGTGCTAATTTGAATTCCAAACTGAAAGAAAGTAGTATATTTAACTACTAAACTATAGAAGATTTATCTACTTAATTTATTTATTTCGAATACTTATTTAATTCATTAATTTGGGCCAATTTTTTTTCTTTCTTTCTCAAAACTGCAAATAATACGAAAAAGCTAAATAGAATTGAATTCAATAGGGGTTGACCGGACCACTTCCAACCCCGACGGAGCCTCTTCCAACCAAACACCATCTGCATCTACTTCCACTGCACTTTTTGCAGCCGCATGAGCAGTTTTGTTTCCATCTCTCCAAAAGGCATGAAGGTAATTTCTCTCATCTCATCCATTAATTGAATGTCATTTCAGATGAATCCCACCTCTAATCTCTCCTCCTTCATAGCTCGAAGAATTGCAAAGACCCTACACGAATCTGTCTCCACCAAAATGCTACCAATCCCTGCTTCAATCGCTGCACCCAAACAATATCTGATTGTTATTGCTTCAGCAACATGTACACTCAAATTTCACCTATAAATGAGTTTGTGGTGAGATTTTTAATAAAAGTATTATAATTAGAGACTTAATAATTAAGTAGAAAGAACAAATCCTTATTTAAAACATGCACGTAGATCAAAATATTATTAAGAGTTAGCCAAATACATGGTTCTTTTTCTACGTTTTTTTTTAATAAAGTCTATCCATCGGCTTGAAATATAGTGAAATGTAATTTATTTAGTTTTTTTTAAACAAGTATAACTTATTTATTTTTTTAAAGAAAGGGTAAAAAAATAGACACAATACCTGTCGTTTTGCCATCGCACACCTAAACGACATGTCGTTTGCTTCAGGACGAATCGTGCAAAATTAACGGCCCGAGCCCGCTAGTCTATCAGTCTCTTGACACGCCGAAGCCGATTTCTGTGCACCCACCACCGGCGATGACTCCGTTTCTCCGACCGACGACGCCTTCCCTACGACTACGAACCCTAACTTCGACATCCCCGTAAGTCCTTTCCTGCTCCTTCTTCTTCTTGAACTCTTTGTTTTCCCGTGTGAGATTACAGTTCCTCTCTTCTGTCACTGTCATTGCTAGGGTTTAAAGCTTGAATCATCTTGTGAATTTTGTTATCCATCCTTCTAGAAGGCACATTAAGGAAATTGAGTGCTTTTTTTACGTCGAACTTGTAGAAATCCGAGAAATTGTGAGTGAATTTGCTCTCTGGTTTCTGAAATTTGAATACAACTTCATATGTGGTGGTGAGGAGATACTAGAAGCTATCTATCATGGAGTGAAGGGCATTTCATGTAACAGGATTGTATGGTCCGGGAATATGAGTATCCGATCCGTATGGATATGGAGTTCTTTCATAGCTTCAATGCCAGTTGGTTTCCGGAGATTCTTAACCTGTTGGGATATGTTGCTTTTTAGATTTTTTTCTTGTTCAGCCGATGGAACCGATCAATTGCACTTCTCAATCTCGTGTTGATATGATTTACTCTTTTTATCGCACTGAAATTCGACTAAGCTACAATTTGGGATATAGAAGCCGAAAGCCAGATTCAAACTTACCGAAGTCTGTGGATCCATACCAAACGACGAACGAAACCAACAATTAGAGCTTCAAATGCAGTGGTTTTTAACTTTCAAATTTTTACTTAGCGGTAGAAGAAAGCATTTCTGGAGCATTTGGAATGACATAATTGATGGATGCAATTATCCTTTTCTGGGATTAGGAATCTTTTCTTGCATTCTGCATTTAGTGTTAGTTCAATTTTCTATAGGATTTATTTTTCTGATGAATCTTTTTGTTTCCATAGAAATCCTTAATCTCCCATCTAGAGTATATGGATGGAGTTTCTCTCAACACTGAGCCAGTGGGTGATGATGATGCGGATTATTTTGAGATTGAAGGGGACTCTGTAATTGCAGAATATGTTGATCAAGCTGGGATATTTCAAGGGGAGAATCCCCTGCCTCCAGCTGTTGGAATGGAGTTTGAGTCTTATGAGGATGTGTACTATTTCTATAGTTGCTATGCAAAAGAACAAGGATTTGGAGTCCGAGTCAGTAACACATGGTATAGAAAGAGTAAGGAAAGATACCGAGGAAAACTTAGCTGCAGCAGTGCAGGTTTCAAGAAGAGAAGTGAAGCGAATCGTCCAAGACCAGAAACGAGAACTGGTTGCCCAGCTATGATAAAATTTAGGTTGATGGATACCAGAAGATGGAGAATAATTGAAGTTGAGCTTGACCACAATCACCTGATCAACCCAACTGGTGGAAAATTTTACAAATCTCATAGGAACTTGGGTGTTGGAACCAAAAGACTGTTGCAACTAGATAGTTCTGAAGAGGGGCACAAAGTTCGGCTATTCCGAACAGTTGTAATTGATGCTGATCACAATGGGTACTTGGATGTTGATGAAGGAGAATCTGGAAATAGTGTTGACCATTCCAATAAATTGAAACTTAATGAAGGAGATGCTGTAGCTGTTGAAGAATTTTTATGTCAAGCACAACTTACAGATTCAAACTTCTTTTATGTTGTGGATCTAAATGAGAAAGGATCTCTGAGGAATTTGTTTTGGGTTTCTTCGAGGTCCAGGGCAGCGTATACTTATTTTGGTGATGTTGTGTCCATCGACACGTCATGTTTAACAAACAAGTACCAAGTCCCATTGGTCTCGATTGTTGGAATAAACCATCATGGGCAGTCTGTATTATTTGGATGTGGTTTACTTGCCATGGAGACGGTAGAATCATATATATGGTTGTTTAGGGCATGGCTTACCTCTGTGCTAGGAAGACCTCCGCGAGTTATCATTGCAGACCAATGTGGAGCCATGCAAATTGCTCTTGCTGATGTCCTCCCCAGAGCTTCTCATTGCATTTCTTTACCTGATATTATGAGAAAAATTCCACAGAAGCTGGGAGGATTGCTTGAATATGAAGCAATTAAAGCAGCAATCTATAGAGCAGTTTACCACTCCCAGAAGCAGGAACAATTTGAGGCAGCATGGGAGGGAATGATCCTGCAGCAAGGACTTGGAGATCATAAATGGCTCCAAGGACTTTATGAAGATCGGAGACGGTGGGTTCCGGTTTTCATGAAGGATATATTTTTGGCTGGAATGTTGCCAATACAATCTGGTGATGTAGTTTTGTCTTTTTTTCAAGAATATTTGGCTGTGCATACTTCTTTAAGAGAATTCCTAGAGAAGTATGATCAAGCTCTGCAATCACATCATCAGCTAGAAGCTTTGGCAGATTTAGATTCAAAAAATTCAAGTTTCATGCTAAAATCAAGATGCTATTTTGAACTGCAGCTTTCTAAATTATATACCAATGAGATTCTTAGGAAGTTTGAGAAAGAGGTGGAGGGAATGTATGCTTGTTTTAGCTCCAGGAAGTTGAATGCTGAGGGGCCACTACTGACATATGTTGTGGAGGAACATGTAGAAATGGAGGGAAGTAGGAGGGATGCAAGAGACTTTGAAGTTTTATATAATGAATCTGAGATGGAAATCCAGTGCACTTGTGGTTTGTTCAACTTGAAAGGATATTTATGCAGACATGCTTTATCAGTTCTTACCCAGAACGGTATCGAGGAAATCCCGCCTCAGTATATCCTTCCACGATGGAGAAAAGACGTCAAGAGAAATTACGTCCTCGATTACTGTTGCACTGGTATTGATATTAACAGCCAAATTCACAGGTATGACCACATATACAAATCTATTGTGCAAGTAATTGAAGAAGGGAGAAAATCGAAAGATAGGTACGATATTGCGATTCAGGGAATCAACGATATACTGAGCAAGCTTCGTCTTGGGACAAACCCTTCCAATTAGTTTGCAGATTTAAGGCTATGGATATGCAGAATAGACATTTGAGCAGATACTTGTACATATCATCAATCACTTTTTGTGTACAGTTTGTTCTAGATTTGATTTGAACTTCATTGCTTGGTTCTGAGTTAAGAGTTACTCATTTTTGTTTTTTTTTCTCCCCAATAATTTTATTGGAGATTCCATGATTGAATAGTTTGATGACCATATCATTAAATACTCGTTTTTTTTACTTATAAATAAATACTTGTTTTGAGTTATATATCTTCATTTTCACTTTGTACCTGTTTCTATTTCTTGTTTTTTCTCTCTTTTATCAAAACAGAACTGTGTTTAATAATTTATGTTTTTTTTTAATTAAAAAAAGGGAACTTTGGTCACAATTTCTGGTCTTTCACTCTATTTAAATTTTAAAAAAATTATATAAAATTTWTTTTTTTTTTATTAGAAACGAGAACAAGAAATTTAATCCACCGTAAGATATTGTAATGCAATTATAATGAGCATTCTAAGTTCTAATAATGGTATAGTTTCTCCTTATCTTATGATAAAAGATATGAATCTTTTACACAGTTTTGTGATTTTCATGAACTGAAATGGATTACTATTAGTAAACCATATTTGGAAACTCAAAATTGTGTTAATTAGAATTACTTCGTGAACAATGGGAAGTTTTTCCACAGGAATTCACTAAGACTGCAATGTAGAACAATAAATAAAAAATTAAAATCTAAACTAAACTAGTTTAAAACTCCATCTCAGTAGATGAGGATACTGATGATCCAAACTCTAACCAATCTCTGGTGCATATGAGGGCCTCAAGTGTTGCTGGCGGCAATGAACTCCGGTAGCTATCCATTCTTCTGGATTCGGTGTCGAAAATCGAGTCATGAGCAACGGTCGACATCGGCATGGACAGAATATCACAGGCCATTTTCGAGAGGGTAGGATACCTATATTCATTCTCTCTCCACCAACTCAAAACATCGAATTCTCGTGATCGAGACACTACTAACTGCTCTTCCAAATAACGATCCAACTCTCGAATTCTCGTGATCGAGACACTACTAACTGCTCTTCCAAATAACGATCCAACTCGGATTTAGTTTGCTCGTCACCAATGGTACATACTTCAAAATCCAAGACCACATCTTCTCCCAAGACCTCGGGTACGGTAAACGTTTTCCCGGTATACTCGAGAAAAAGGTTGTGGAGAGTATAGTCAACCATGTGTGTCCATTCCTTTGCTCTCTCGACACACACTTTGGAGAAGGTAAGTTCAACATGCTCCAGTTTGAAGCTTGGATCTATTGCTGTTGCAATTGCTAAAGGCAAGTAATTATCCCTCCAATATTTGTCAAACGTTTCTTTCAAAGGCTTTGTGAGGTCATGGACAAACGGATCCTGGCTCATGCTTGCCCAAGCGAGATTGATTTGAATTATCGACGCTTGTACGAAGAACACACTCGCAGTCAGGTAAGAAGAGGAAGTTAAAATGTTAGCCACATCAAGAAAGTACTTCAAGTATCTACAAACAGTATCCGCTTGCTTCCATTCATTCATCGATAGAGTTATCTTGTCATCAGGATCGGGATCGGATGCATCAAAGCACGAAATGACTTCTTTTAGCTCACAAGCTGCTGCCAACATCTGATATGTTGTATCCCATCTGGTCTCTTGATCGAGTGAAAGATCATCGCAAGAATCAGGTACTTGTAGTTGATCCTTCAAATCACAAAACTTGTCCCAATGCGCTGATGGAGTTTTAACATACTTCACACTTTCTCGAATCTTCTTCACGACTTCACTAGTCGACGTCAATGCATCTCGTGCAAGCTGCGAAAGAGTTCGAGCCAAACAATTTACTAATAACAGTTGATCATTAACAAAACTTTGACCATTAGCAACTAGGACAGCTCTAAGATTTCCAAAAATGGTATCATTATTCACAAGGGATGGATGGACTGTGACGTTAAAGACCCGTCCATTCAACTGCCAATCCTTCAAGCAAGTGATCACGGCTCGAGTAATAGGAAAATCTTCCCTACCATCAGGAAAGATTATTCTGACAACATTCAAAATTCTGCAATGAGAGTTCCAATTGTTGTCAATGAAATGTCCTCTAACGAAGACATATCCAAAGGTGCAACTGCAAGTCCAGATATCCAATGACAAGCTTATTCGACCCAGAACTTCGCTCAGAAAATCCGACATGCTTCTCTTTTCCTCGAGGTATATGGACACACATTCCTTCTGTATCCTTGGCAAGCTCACCATCTCCACCTGGGGTTGCAAACTTCTAACCAAATTGACAAAACTATGTTGCTCCACAATGTAGAGTGGAAAGTTCATCTTAATAAGCATAATGGCAAGTTCATGAATATATTGGCTCTGATCCGAAACAACAGATCCCTCTCTTCTACGCTTCCTTGATTGTCCTTCTGGTTCAACATTGTCACCAACTAATGCAAGATCCGATTCCATGCCACTGCATGAAAAATCTCTCTCTTAGTTTCCAGACTCATAGAGAGACCTATACAATTCCAAATCTGAATGAACAAAGACGACAAAAAATAAATACACTTTCCACCGCCATTCAGGTCCATTACTTTTGGTTCTTGAGAAAAGGTAGCTGAAGTTTGAATTTATTTTTTAATTAATTCATAAAGTTTGAGATTTCTTAATTAATATACGAGAGATCTCTCAAATAACTCCATATAAAATTTATTTAGTGTTAATACACTAGCATTATAAATGAGAAAGAAAGAGAAAATGAGGGAGGGAGAAGAGAATAAAAAATAATAAAATTTGTAGACTCATTCAAAAAAAAACATCAATTCATGGACCAATTAAAAATCAAATTCCAAAGGTCCGGACCAATTAAAAATTAAATTTGGTTTGTACAAAAAAATATAGTTTTTAAATTTAGGAACCAAATAAAAAATACAAGAAAATCAAGATTCAAATGCTCCTTATTAAGAGAACTGTAAGAACAAATATATTTCCAGTATATCTCAAACGGAGAACAGAGAGTTTGGAAAAGATTTTATATTCAGAAGACCATCAAAGAGCCGCAGAAAGAAGGAAATCATACCTAAAGTGATGAAAGATGAAAAACCTATTTTGTATTTTCAATTTTCTCCACTTTTTAGAACAATATTTAAATTTATAGATAATCAAAACAGATTCTTTAAAAATTTATTTTACAGATTCTGTATATACTAGGTAGATTCTATACCTTTATTCCATATATTTATAGATATATTTTTAAATAATATTTAACAGTCATATGTTTTAAAATCTGTGGGAAAAAAGGAAAGAAATTTCGTCCAACAATTTTAAAATTAATGCTAGTGATTTTCTTTATTCATTGGCGGACGGAAAATTCGAACATGTCCGACCTGCCATCCAACACTAATAATCATCCGTCGGTAGATATGTCGAATTCTGAACCTATAAATAGAGGGTACTATTTTCACACTAGGTATTAAATTTTTACTCGAATCTTATATTAAGTTTGAGCTACTTATTGACTTTAGCATCAGAGAGTTTAACCTTTTGTACAGGTTCACGTCTCCGATCTTGACTAGGTTTCACCTCGTCCTGTTTTCATATAAACAAATGGCATTAGAATGTTTAAAGTAATTAAATTTTATTGTGTTTATCATACATTCAATGATTAAATTAAAATATTTATTAGATTAGATAGTTAAAATTAAAACTAGAATTAAGTATCAAAGGAGGAGCAAAACAGAAGAATTTTGCAAAAATTAGGGCCCAAGCCCAAACTGAAGCCCAAGGCAAAGCCCAGTGAGTGGGGTAGGGGAAAGGCTAATGTATCAGACTTTGACGCACCGAAGCTGAAGGCCGTGCACCCACCATGACCGGCGATGACTCGTTTTCTCCGAACGACGACGCCTTCTCTACGAACCCTAGCTTCGACATCTCCGTAAGTCCTTTTCTGCTCCTTAGTCTTCTTCAATTATTTGTTTTGCTGTGTGAGATTAGAGTTTCTCTCTGCTGTCACTGTCATTGCCATTGCTAGGGTTTTAAAACCTTCAATTTACCTTCTCAAATTTGTTACCCGTCCCTCCACTAGGCACATTAAGGGAATTGAGTGATTTTTTTTACTTCGAAACTTTAAGAAATCCGGGAATTTGAGAGTCAGTTTTCTCTCTGCTTTCTGAAATTTGAATACAGCTTTATATGTGGTGGTGAGGAGATTCTGTAAGCTACTATATCATGAAGTGAAGAATGTATGGATATGGAGTTCTTTTATTCTGGATATGTTTCTTTTTTAACTTTTTCTCCAACAATGAGAAGAATTACTGTGTTATTGATGAGTTGTTTTTTATTTAGATAGAAGAAGGCTCTCAAAACAGTGGAGAATTGCTTGAGGAAGAAGGCAATAATCTTGAGAATGAGTGTGAGCAATTGTTTCGGATTGATGACAATGATCTTGATGACGAAAGAGATGAAAAATTCCTGTTAGATGGCCACCGGAATCATAGAAATGATGTAAACATAACCGATGGCAATGAAAGCTTTGGTGATGATATAAGCATAAATGCTGACCATGAGCATGACAGAGATGAAAGTCCTCTGATTGATTGCCAAATTGATTTATCTGGAGGGAAGGATTATCTCCCGCCAGTTGCCGGGATGGAATTCGAGTCATATGATGATGCTTACAACTATTACAATTGCTATGCCAAGGAACTTGGCTTTGCCATTCGAGTGAAATCTTCATGGACTAAACGTAATAGCAAAGAGAAGCGTGGGGCAGTTCTCTGTTGCAACTGTGAGGGTTTCAAAACAGTTAAAGAAGTTAATAGTCGAAGAAAAGAAACTCGTACAGGGTGTTTAGCAATGATTAGGTTAAGGTTAGTAGATTCTAACAGATGGAGAGTTGATGAGGTGAAGCTTGAGCACAACCATTCTTTTGATCCTGAAAGAGCTCAGAACTCCAAGTCACACAAGAGGATGGACGTTGGGGCTAAAAGAAAGGTCGAACCATCGATTGATGTGGAGGTACGAACGATCAAGCTATATCGAAGTTCTGAATTGGATGCAATGGGCTATCAGGGCTTAAATTCAAATGGAGAATCCAAAACACATGTTAACAAGCCTAGGTGCCTGCCCCTCAAGAAAGGTGATACCCAAGCTATTCATGATTTTTTTCATCGAGTTCAGCTTACAGATCCAAATTTTTTCTATGTGATGGATCTTTATGAAGAAGGTCTTTTGAGAAACGTCTTTTGGATCAATTCCAGGTGTAGAGCTGCATATGGTTATTTCAATGATGTAGTAGCATTTGACACCATGTGCTTGTCCAGCAACTTTGAGATTCCACTCTTTGCATTTGTTGGAATAAATCATCATGGACAATCGGTTTTACTTGGGTGTGGATTGCTTGCGGATGAGACGTTGGAAACGTATATTTGGTTATTAAGGGCATGGCTTACATGTATGTCTGGCCGTCCCCCCCAGACTATCATCTCAGACCAATGCAAGCCTTTGCAAAGTGCCATAGCTGAGGTTTTTCCAAGGGCTCATCATCGGCTTTGTCTATCGTATGTAATGCAAAGCATTTTCGAGAATGTGGGAGAGTTGCAGGAGTCCGAAGCATTTCATGTGGTGCTAAGTAGGACAATATACGATTGTGTGAAAGTGGAAGAGTTTGAAATGGCTTGGGAAGATATGATCCAGCATTTTGGGATAAAAAATCATGAGTGGCTTCAGAGTTTGTACGACGACAGAGAGCGGTGGGCGCCTGTTTTCTCAAAAGAGACATTCTTTGCTGGAATGTACAATTGCGAGAAAGGTGACTGGATGATTCCTTTTTTCCATGGCTACGTGCACCGACAAACTTCTCTGAAAGAATTCTTCGACTATTATGAATTAGTTCTTCAGAAAAAGCAAGAGATTGAAGCTCTGCAGGACTTGGAGTCTACTGAATTCAGCCCCGTGTTGAAATCAAGATGCCTCTTCGAGTTGCAGCTCTCCAAATTATATACGAAGGAAATTTTCAGCAAATTCCAAGATGAAGCAGTGATGATTTCTTCTTGTTTTAGCCTTCCTCAGATTGAGACAAGTAGCGGACCAGTCGCTACATTTGTGGTCAAAGAACATGAAACCGAGGAGACTCCTGGAGATGGAAGGTCTTTCGAGGTTATGTACGATAAAGCAGGAGGAGAAATCCGATGCATTTGCAACTGCTTCAACTTCAAAGGCTATCTGTGTCGACATGCACTGTTCATCCTACGGTACAACGGAGTAGACGAAATCCCATATCAGTATATACTATCACGCTGGAGGAAGGATTTTAAGCGCGTTTATGTTCCGGATCTTGGCTGCAATAATATAGACATTACAAACCCAGTTCAGTGGTTTGATCACTTGTACAGAAGAGCAATTCAAGTTGTTCAAGAAGGCATGACATCTCAAGACCATTACATGGTTTCTTGGCAAGCACTTAAGGAGTCTTTGAATAAGGTGCGTCTCATTGCTGATAGACATGTATAATAATATATGGCCCAATACCAATCCTGTAAAAAATCTGACATTTTTCTGTACATTGTAACTCATTTGTTCAACTACTCAAAAAGTGAAATTAAAGTCCGAGTATTTGTTCGGTTTGATAATGATTTTGTTTTTAGTTAGTTTTTAAAAATATAACTATTATAATTGGATTCTATTTGTTATTTTATTAAATTAACATCTGTGATCTGTTGGGCTTCTGATATGGTTGGCTACTTCAATTACTTCTTTGAATAACTAGGAAAGAAAGTGCTGCATATTCTTATTTGGGTGAATTTATCAGGGTAAAATATATCATCAAAAGTTCAAATCTCTCTCCATAATAACTAAGAGAAAAAAAAAAGGTAAATATCTTGACTAGCAATGTAAAAGATCATGTCAAAAAATCAAATTCTTCAAAACAGAAAAAAAAAAAAAAAAGTTTGCTTTGTTGTTATACTCCTAATGCAAATATCTTGATTAATCTGTATAATTATGTTGTTAAGAGCTAAAAACTCTCCCTTAAAAAAGAAAAAGAAGAAGGGAGAAGGAGAATAACTTTTGCTGTTATATAGACGATGACAGAAAAGTTGTCCTCTAGTATTGGAGGTAAAAATCTTCATAAATACGGTAATTGATTACTCCTGACTTTATTTAGATAAATTAATTTAAAAACATTTTATATTTAAACCAAGGTTTTCAGCGTTGATGTGAAGGAAAATATCGAGATTTCAATTTTATGGAAATATAGTTAAATGTATTAATATCAATTGATATTTCTAAAAATAATAAAAATATACAAATATACAAATTAATAAATAAGTATTTTATTATTTCGAAATAATTTAAAATATCATATTGTAAATATTTGTTTTGATATTTTTCTTATTTTGTCGATTTTTTAAATATTGTGCAAGTATCGATTTACTCGAGATATTTAATACCATGTCGAAAACCATTCGTTATTTCTACATAACTAAACGTAAAGACTGAGAAATATAGATTTTTGTTCGATAACATGGGAGAGTTGCTGCTTATTCTCAGGCTATCAGCTTTTGATGTATACATCTCTGACTTTTTCGAACCATATTTTTATGATGGAGTTTGAACTTACGACTTTCTTCCTTTTTTTACATAGGAAGAGTCCAATTGAACTTTAGATAGAAATGACTATTTAAGTCAGTTAAGGCCAATTGGCATATTATATATTATTTAAATCTCATTTAATATCTATTTCATCTTTTTGAAAGTTAGGCTTGTTTGGTCACGTTCTTGGACAACACGTAAAAACAAATTTTAATAGTGGTATTTGACGTACAATCCATTGAACTTTATTAATAATTTACAAGATGTGGATTAGGGGTATATATGAAAGAAATTTATGGCAGGTTTGGTAGGTTAGTTCCGTATCTATTTCCTATAATTGTATAATTTCAAAGGATGATAAAATAATATTTATATTTATGTTTTAACTCAGCAAAGTACACTTAGTCCTCATGTTATAGAATTTGACATAGTCAATTAAAAATTTGAACCTAAAATCCTTAATTTTGCTAAAAAAAAATACTACTAAAAACCAGTCTCATTCAATTTAAAGTTGAAAACAGTCCCAAAGTCATTAAATTTCACACCAAGAACAGTCCAAAACATTCAATTTTCAGCCATGAAAATACCAAAAAACAGCCCAAAAAATTCAATTTTCAGTCCAAAACAGTCTCAAAAGTGTTAATTTTCGCAGTGCAGTCCAAAATGGCCCAATTTTTTTTTTTTTTTTTTTTTAAAAAAGGAGTCCCGAATTTGTTAAAATTTTTAGCAAAAACTCACAAATCAGTCTAAAACCTATACCAAGATGTATAGAAAAAAAACAAAGATTTAAACCACCTTACTCACCAATAGAGAGAATAATAATAGAATGGAGAGAGATTCGTGAAAGGTGGCCGGAACAAAAGGGTACGGTGGTCGGACCTTTTTTTTTAGTTGCACGCCACCAGAGTGTGATGGAGTATGAGAGGAACGTCAGCCACGGGAGTGTGATAGAGTATAAGAGGAGTATACGACACTTAGAATAGGCAAATGAGGAGAGAGTGCGTTGTTGGGTGAAAGAGACGAGACTGAGAGAGTGTGTTTTACTTATCTGTAAACCTTAATCCTTAATGCGGTCAACGTGTGTCACATACTCAAATTTAATATTGTAATGTATGAGATGATATCAATTTTAAATATTTAAAACATAACAACCGTCAATATGAGCGTAGCTGCACAGTAATTAACATTTATTTATTCTTTGTTGGGTTCAAATTCTCATATCTCTCCTTTATTGTACTAAAAAAACTCTAAAGACTAAATTAAAAATTTTTAAAACCATAGAAATCAAATTGAAATAAAAAATATATATATTTAATTAGATATATAACAATTTTAGCACACAATATTTATTAAAAATGTGGAGGTTTTGTTTAAAATGTGGTTTTATAGACAATTAGGACCCACCGTTACAGAGAGATTGTATTATTTAGGTTTCCAAACATTCCATATCTTTAAATAAATCCATTTTACATTTCAGAAAAATCCAACATCTACAAAAATTGGAATTTCTTTTTCTTTTTTCTTTTTTAGTTAGTTCAATAGAGATTCAATCTGACTTTTAGGACAAATGCATAAACTGGTTGAGGCTGGTTTTAAGTTGTAATTCAATTTTATGAGGTTTTATAAGTTTTTGTACATTCTCTTCTAATATTTTTTGTAACACTCATTCTTTCACCATTTTTAGACATTCATTTTCGTTTTATTTCCTCTGAAAAATAGTGGGTGTCATACGTATATCAAATGGTATAGTTGTCATAATTTTTTTTTAATACAACACGTGAGAGTGAAAATTCGAACCTAAAACTTTCTGTCGATAATATATGTCTTAACCAGTTAAATTATACTCAAAGTTGGAGCACACTTTTAAAGGTCGAGCATGATTAGGCTAATAGTATATTTTGGATAGTTTTTGGAAAAGAATATTTTTAAAATAAATTAAAATGCTTTTTCTAAAGCACCTTTTAAGGCAATTACTAATTCAAAGTGTGCTTAGTATAGCTTCTTAACTTATGATTACAAGTGTTTTTTTGAAAAATCCCTATAAAAGTAATTATGGGGAAAGAAAAACAACAAAAATGGAAAGGTATTAAAACCAAATCCATAATTAATTGCTCATTAATCAAAAAGTCGAAGATTTAAATCTGAAAAAAAACTATGGAATGGAGAGAATTTTCATTGTGACTCAAAGTTTTACTTGTTATATCAAAAAGTCCACCTCGTTACCATTGTGCTCAGCTTAATTAATTAAGCTGAAAAAAAAAAGTCCATTTTTGTAAGGTTTATGTATGAGATATTTGTTTAAACACAAACATTAGAGCTTGTTTCATATATATATATTTTTTTAATTTTTAAAAATTGTGCTTATTTTCTATTCTGATCCACTTTTTCTAAAATCAATCAGAAAATGAAAATTAAAAAAATTAAGTTTTTGTTTCTAAAATTAGTCATGATTTCACAACTGCTTTTAAAAAGTGAAACTTTTAATTAAAAATAATATAGATACAAATAAATATTAAGTATAATTTTGTGAAACAAGAAACCAGTAAAAAAATCATTTTCTAGATATTTCCAATCTACACGAGAACCCCTAAATTCTAAATTCTACAAATGAAGCTATTGGAAGAGTAAAATTTAAATAGGAACAAATCAACTAAAATGAGAATTTGGAAAAAAATAAATTATATTTATTAGTTGATATATAATCATAAAATTTCCATTCCATTTGAAAAAACTTCAACAGGGAGCAAACTAGAAGAGAAGCCATATCAATATGTTGCAAATGAATCAATGTGAGGCTATATTAATCAATAATCAGAAAGAATATATCTATACGAAAGTAAATCCAGAAACTAAGGACGCTATTCAATTCCTGTTAATCCCAAAAGATCATTTTTACCTACATAAAAAAATCAAAATCTAAACTAACAAAATTTAGAACTCCTTTTTCACAATGGCATCAGACATCTGAGTAGATGGGGTTAATAATGATCCATACTGTAACCAATCTTTGGTGCAAATGAGGGCCTCAAGTGTTTCCGGCCCCAATTGACTCCGGTGGTAATCTATTCTTCTGATTTCAGTGTCGAAAACCAAGTCACGAGCAACGCTCGACACCGGTATGGACAGGATATCACAGGCCATCTTTGACAAGGTAGGATACTGATCTTTGTGTAGTCTCCACCAACTCAAGACGTCGAACTCTGGCGATCGGGGCGTTAGCACCTCCTCCAAGTAACAATCTAACTCTGATTTTGTTTGTTGGTTTTCAGAGGTCTCAGAGATATATACATCAAAATCTGAGAGCCCATCACCGGTTGTAAGAAATATTTCTCCATGGTGTTCTTCTTGATGCACCTCCGTAAGGGAGATACCAACACTCCCATCTTCTCCAAAGGTATCGGATAGGGTTAGTGTTTCCATGGTATACTGGAGAAAAAGATCACGAAGGCCATAGTCAACAGTTCTGGTCCAGTCTTCTGCATTCTCAACAAACACTTTGGAGAAGGTAAATTCAACAAACTTCAGTTTGAACCTCGGATCCATTACTACTGCCATTCCTAAAACTAAGCAGCAATCTTTCCAATATCTATCGAACTTCTCTTTCAAAGGATTTGTCAGGCCATGGACAAGTGGATCCTCACTCATGCTTGCACGAGTGAGCTCCATTTGAATTCTTGACACTTCTGGGAAGAACACATTCGCAGTTGGATAAGAGGGGGAAGTTAAAATGTCGGCCACATCATAAAAGTACTTCAAGTATGTGCAAAGAGTTTCTGCCATCTTCCAATCATCCATTGATAGACTTAATTTGAAATCGGGATCAGATGCCTCCAAGCAAGAAAAAACCTCTTTCAACTCACAGGCTGCTGCCAACATACGATATGTTGTGTCCCATCTTGTTTGATTATCCATTGAAAGCTCCCTGGCACAGGGTACTTGAAGGTGATGCTTCAGCTCAAGAAACTTCTCCTCTCGCATGATTGAACTTTTCACATACTTCACGCTTTCACGAATCTTCCATACGACTTCACCTGTTGACGATATTGCTTCTTGTGCGAGCTGACAGAGAACTTGAGCTAAGCAATTTCCTAATAATAACTGACCGTTAAGAAATTTTGCATCATTAGCAACTAGAAAAGCTCTAAGGTTCTTAGCAATGGCATCGCTCAAAAAGGACTGATCAACATCAACTGTGAGGGAAAAGACGCGACCATCCAACCGCCAATTAGATAAGCAAGTGAGGACGGCTAGATTAAGGGCATCATAGGCATAAGGAGAAGGTATCCTAACAACATTCAGGATTCGACATTGAGAGTTCCAGTTGTTGTCAATGAAGTGTCCTCTTAGGAAAGCATAGCCAAAGGTGTCACCAGAAGTCCAAATATCTAACGACAAGCTTACTCGACCGGAAATTCCACACAGAAAAGTCAAGAGGCTTTCTTTTTCCCTAAGGTATATGGATGCACATTCTTTCTCTACCATGCTGAAACTCATCATATTGAACTGCGGTTGAAGACCTTTGAAAGCATTAACAAAACAAGACTCGTGCACTATGTCAAGTGGAATCTCATTCTTAATCATCATAACGACAATATCATGATTGGAGCGGTTTGTATCAAAGGGCATGCTCGCAAATGCAGGAGTCGCTCTGCAACGTTTCCTAGGTGGATTAGTAACCTTCCCATTAGTGAAGGTTGTGGGGCCACGCGTGTGACCATTTGACTGATTTTGCTCACGGCTTACAGGGCAGATGCCTAGAGCTATGTGACGTTTTAGGTGGCTGGTGCCTGCTAATTTTGAACCAGTAACATAAGCAAAAGATTTATTGCACTGGTTGCAGCAGGCTCTAATACATCCATCTTCAACCGTTTGAACTGTGAAATAATCCCAAACAATAGACTTCTTTCTTCTACGCTTATTTGGCTGTCCTTCCAATCTTAATGGCTCAACATTTTCAGCAAATTCTAAAGGAATATCCAACTCTATCTTAGGAGTAATACTGCACCAAAAAGAAGAAGTTTAATAAACCTTCATCATATACATTATACAGTGTTCATTCTACTTTGGCACTTAATACCTAATCACATAACAAAGCAGAACAAGTCCTCAAAAAGATAAAAAGAAGTAAAAATCTCAATGAACATAACGTAACAGCAAAATAAAGCCCATCCTACGCACATGGCTCGAACAACAAAGCCTGTTAAATATGTTAACGAGCCCAGTTCCTTCACAGGTTATAAAAGGAAGAAAATTACAATTCGAATACTCCTTTCCAGATTTCCCAAGCTGACTGTGAAGCTACAGACCCTAGTAACAGATAAACCCCAAACAGAGTACCAAAAAATTCGCAGGAACCATTCGTTCAACAAGAAGACCCTCTCTTAGAAAGCCGCAAATAAGGAAAAGAACAAAGAAAAAGACATACCGAGACTGATGAATTCGATTATCAGTATCCCCGTTCTGCAACTCCATCGCATAAGAAAAACAACTTCCAGTTTCGTATTGTCTTCCACTGTTTCAGAAAGTTTGAAAAAAAGTTGCAGAAATTTGAAAATTTGGCGCAACGTTGGCTCCAGTTCCAGAGGTAGAAGACGAAGTTTAATGGGCTTTTGCGGTTCAACGTTCAGAGCTTCAGAATCATAAACCCTAACTGGACCAAATGGAAACGTGAATAATGAAGGAAGAAAATTAGGGGAATTGGACCGGCCGTGGACCTCAAATCCACTATTTATAGGTTTATTTTCAAAGACCCGCGAATTTCTTATCTCTGTGGTCAATCTTCAGCCCAATTCCAATTTTTTAATCTGGACCGTTGATTTTTATCCTTCTTTTCCTTTGCCTTTTGGATTTAGGAAATTAATATATTAGAGGCGTAGGGTGCAAGAAAAGGACTTTTTACCATATGAGAAATAATATATCTAAAAAAAGTTTATATTTATATTTACATTTTTTTCCCTAGTAATCCTCTCTCTGTCTAGGATGATTAAGAAATTTTCTTTCATGACAAATTTTTTTTATAATAATTGTTTTTTTTTATTATGACAAATTTGATTATTATATCTACTTTTGAATAGTTTCTATGTGAGTTAAAATAAAAGATTAAGAGATATATATCTTGGAAAGTTATATTTTTCGTTCTAAATTTTAAAATCTTATGATTTGAACTTGAAGTTTTTCAAAAATAATTTTAAATAGTTTTTCTATCATTGTTATTATCAACTTAAAAAACAATTTTTGGTAATTGAACTTTAACAATTCAGTCTATGAACTTTAGATTGTAATGAGTTAGCTTTTATACTTCAAATTAATAACAAAAGTTCATTAATTATAATTTAATCTTTTATCTCGTGAAAAATCTGATCAAAATCTCCATTTTTATTATGCAAAATTTAGTCCTTGTAATTTATACACACATTTAATAGTTCGTCAGTTTACTTATCTACTTACCTACTTATGGAAATCTCACTAAATCTTAACAATATCTTTCATGATAGATACTAAATCCTAAAAAAATTGAAAATACAAAGAATTAACAGTTATATATTAAAATTTATAGATTAGGTTGTTACAAATTTAAAAGTACAGGGATCCTAATCGTTATAAACTAAAGTTTTCGACCAGAGCACAGGGACTAAAAGTAAATTTTTTAACTTCTTTATTATTATTATTATTATATTTCTTTATTATTTTTGTAATATTAATTAGTATTAAATAATATATTTTTATTTTTTATATAGTTTATGTGGTAATTTTATTAATATTATTAGTTTTATTGATGTCAATTAAAAATTCATATAAATAAGCA